TCATTTCACTATTTAATGAAATTATTATTGTTTTAAATATGCATAATACAATTGTTTTTTCGTCACTTTTACCTTTCTAACATGTTGATTTAACCGTTCGAGAAAGCATAGTGCAACTTCTGCTTCAGCAATAAGAGGAAAAAACCTTGCTTTTCTTTTTTCAAAATTTTTGAAACCGATAAGAAATTGTAACATTTATAGAACAGTATGTCTGTATACTGAATTTTTCTTTGATGTTTACTTTTTCGTTTTTCATTGGTTGAGAAATATTTCAATTATTAATTTTTTTTATGGGCTGTGGTGTTTTGACTGTAGTGACTTGTGCCGAAAAGTCAAGAGTAAGTGCAGCATATGGGTCGTCAATGTAGACCTCAGCAAGAAATTTGTAGACACTTTCAAACAAGAACTGCTATTATGTTGGAATGCGAATCATATATCGTGTCAGTCAATAAAAACTGTCAAAAGAAAAGATAGAAAAATTGTCCATTCAGAGGTGGCGACGCAGAAATGCCGAATTTATACAGGATTGCAAGACGATATCGGTTTTTTTGCTGACAATCATGATACTCGCCGGTGAGTGAGAAACGATGAGAATATGATGTGAAAACGATGACGAGAATGTAATGTGAAATGTAAGAAAAAAGCGCTTCATTCTGGGAGTAAGAAGTAGGTAGAACAAAACATATTTTTCCATTGACGATTGCATTTCCTGATTGTGTGTTGAAATCGAAGAGGAAGAAGTATATTTCCTGACCCTCGAACTTCTTCGCTCTTGATTAAAGGACTCGAAATATTAGCTTGAGTAGAAAGTGATTATTTTACATATAATATTTTTTGGCGATTTTTGAGTGCAGCGTGCCGGTTTGAGAAATTCGAGTCAATCTATTCTACAATAATCCTTTAAATGAAATAAGTGTACGGTTGAAACGCGTTTCTGCATGCATTTTTTCCTCTCGTCGTTTGGATTGTCTTAAACGTTCAGATGCAAGTTGTCGTCCATGTTGCAGATTTGTTTAGATGTTTTTATTCTTTATAATAACGGGTGGGGAAAAATTCAGCATTATTTTTGTTTTTGCTACTACCCCGGAAAGGATCATTATTATAACTTCATTTTTTTGTATTCAAAAGAACAATTTCTACACTCTAAAATGCATTTAATAAGAAGTTTAAAAAACGCTTCTTGATACTACATTTTCTAAAATTTTCTACGGACAACCAACGTCGTATGGTGCAATATATCTTTATCTGATTCTTTGTTTAAGGTGGAACAAACAACTCTGACTAGTAAAAATGATCACAAAATGCTTTCTGTGATCATCAAAATGCTTTCAAAATCTGGTTTGATGATTCTCTAAGGAAATTGTTCAATAAAAAAAATAATGCATTCAAACAATTTAACCCTTTGGCTCCCGACGACATATAAATGCATCTATAGTTGCAGTTATTGCATGATCATAATAGCTAGAATAAATTTGAAAAAAGATTTGAATAGCTGAAAGAATTTCCGATCTCAGGTGGTGTATACAAAGGCTCTATCAAAACTCCTGAAATCAGGGTCTCTGGAAAACTCAAATCTCAGAAAACCAAGTCCCAGAGTTCAATCCAGAAATTTTTTGCAAATAAGTTGATCGTGTAAAGCAAACATTTCTGAAGAAAATGAGACGTCTCCGAGCTGTTTATGACATTTTCCCATGGAACAGCATTCAATTTACGGAAAGCCCTATAGCAGCAAAACTTTCGAATAACTTTCGATTGTTTAAAGCAATTGGGCTCGGATTTTCGTTATTGGGAATAGCGATCTCCGGGGCGTCTATTTGTATAACATTAATAAGGTTCGAAGGACATTCCCATGTTCACATGCTTATCTTTTCACTGATATATCTTTTACCATCTATTGTCATAAGCTTTCGCGACAGCCTGGACTCACCAACCATTGAAATGTTCTTCGACCTAATAAATGTTATACAAATAGACGGCCCAGAGATCGTTCTTTCCAGTAACTAAAAGCCGAGTCAATAGCTTTAAACAATTGAACGTTATTCGAAAAATGGTGAATGACATGTCCAAAAAAGTCCTAAAACAGATAAGGATGTGTTGCACCACATGATGTTGATTGTGATAGAAAACTTTAAAAAAATGTGATGTCAAGAAACGTTTTTCAACTTTTCATTAAACGCATTTTGGAGTGCAGATATTGCTAGTTCTAATACATTCTAATACAAAAAATGAAGTTATAACGATGATCCTTTGCGGACTAGTAGCAAAAACAAGATTAATGCAGACCTTTTATCCCACTCTCTAGATTCAAAATTGTTGATCGTTGTATTATCTATCTCATTCATCGAAAACGATGTGGATGATCCTTGTATTGGTGACCATAGTGGCCATTGCAATCATACGCTACATTAATCAGCAACAGATAGATGTGGACAGAACGGAACAATCAGAAATCACACCAACACATGCGGTAGAAGACGATCAACAACAGACAGACGTGAGCAAAACTGGCCAGTCAGAAATGACACCGACACCTGCCGTAGAAGACGAGCAATGGATTGAAACAACATATGATACAACGACTTTATACTCAATTACTGTTCGAATTCGTTTGATAGATACTTTATGTCAAATCGAAATGCATGGTGAAGCATCGATTGGTGAATTGATCACCGATATATCCCAAAAGGCCAATTTGACTGCGCCACCGGATCATTATTATCTAATGTTTGATGCGCATGAATTAGATATCAATGATACAATTCGAAAATCAGGTCTACTTAATTCGATAGGTACTTCTGTTCAAAGCTATCCAGAACTTCGATTAAAAGTTGTACATCAAGTCAAAGAATCAATTCATCTTGGCACGCACGTCGTGCTTATCTCACCCGAAAAACTTGTTTATCAGGAAATTCTCAAAATACCAGCTTCACCAACCCAAAAACAAATAATGCCCGAAATTTTACAACCGTTAGCTAAACAAACCTTTAAGCACAAATCTCAATCATCGATGTTCTTGTCAAACTTAATTTCCATGCCTGTCTTTACTAAACAAGTGATCGATGAATTACCCTCAATTCGTATTACTATATCATTGAAACAAGACAAATTCAATTGGAATACATTTTTGAAATTCTTAGCTATTGATCTTGAAATTGACAGAAATGATATGTTTCTAATGAGTGCCCAAGAAGGCAGCACTAAATTCGAAATCAAGTTCAAAGCGTCTATTTCACTTTGTAAGAAAAAAATGAAAAAAATTGCCGAGAAATTGTGCGTGATTATTCTTCCAACAAGCAGGTGTGCCCAGTTTATAGCTGAACAAAAGTCGTTGGGGGACATTACGGAAGTCTCAAAAATTGAAGCTAAACTACACAACTTCTTCGAAGGCAAAAATTCAATTGAGGCTGAAACTTCACTGACACCTGATGACATCGATGCTGTCCTTACACTTGTGCAGCGACCAGCAATTATTGATGCACCATCCTGGCAATATCTCACAGAGAAAAGCCGCGAGATTAGCAGTTGTATTCTGCATGCTTTTCAAATGTCACCAATCGAATACGTCATCGAAAATTTGTCACTCGTTCACAACGAAGATTTATATAAGCTATACCATGATTGTTATGCTCACGGCGAAGAGAAGATACTTTTTCACGGAACACAGACATCCAACTTTGATGGTATATTCGAAAAAAATTTTCAAAATTTTGTTGGTTCCAAAAGAACGGATTCAGGATGGTACGGTAGAGGTATCTATTTTAGTACTTCACCCAAATATTGCGCCAGCTATGCACACTCAGATGTTAATTCCATCGTCTATTTAATATGCAGCCTTGTTAAACTCGGTAAAATGTATCATGTAACAGATATGTCCTACATGGGAAAAGAGATGCGTGTCGATTCGGATAGTCACTATGTGAAAGTCACCGCCAGTGGACATCCAACGAATGCAGAGCACTCCTTTTTCGAAGAGTTCGTTATCAAGCAAAGCAATCAAATTCTACCGCTTTACATTATTGGTCTACGACCTGTACATCGTTTTGTTCTCTGGCGCGATCCTAAGATTTCCGACGACCATAATGGGCCACTATTCGCACAGATGAAACAAGGATATAATTTTAATATTTATGGAAGTGAAACATCTGCAGAAGCACTTGCTGTTCTCGAGTGTAAGCTTAACGATCCAAAGATGCAATGCGTGGTCGTGACGAATGGCGCCGATAAAGGTGAAGAATTTGTACGTCAATGTCGAAACATGCGGTCATCATTGCCAATGATTGTTTACTGTTCTCAAGTAGGCTATCATAAACTATGGGCAACAAAAATCGGCGGACATCCTGAAATTCAAGTTACTGGGAGCTCAAATGATGTGTTTAACTTCATTAATTCCACATTTCCGAAAACGGCTATCTGAGTCGGAACTGAAAAGGATTCTATTATTAAAATTTGACCATTAAGATCATCTCTTTTTATTTTAACCAAAAAGAATAATGAATGACTTCACCATGTATAGAATAAATTTTTTTTGTTCTGTCAATGTCAACAGAAAAAGTCCCAATCTATATCTTTGCATTTAACTGAACTACCCGCTTCGAATAGCAGGCTAGAAAAATATTATATACTTTTTTACCAGCTTAGAAAGCCTAAAATTAGGAAGTTTTTTTACCAATCGATAGTGAGTTTGCCACTGATTCCGAATATGTGGTTATTTTGTCTACAGATTTACTTTGATTTTGCACGTAATCCAGTTTTCCGAAAGCACCATTGTTTTCGATCCAGTTTTGCTTAGCGATTTTCC